CGGCCATAATGGCGTGACTCGTGTCCACGTCTTTGACGTCCACCTTTTCGTCGAACTCCACGCGATTCAGGAGACACTTGAGGTGACAGTAATCCCCGTCCATACGCCTTAAGTCCCGGTCCAATGGTACCAATTGTTCGCTGCGAATGCTGTTCAACCGAGTGGTCATTATGAGGACCTTTTGCTCCAACGATGTCTTAATGGTCTCCAATGTCTCCAGAAGTCTCTTCAGCAGTCGATTACTACTCGTGAGGGACTCGTTCTCAGACTCCAAGAGCTGATTGCTGTCCACGAGTTGATCGTACGACTGCTTCAGCGACTGATAGGACTCGTAGTCTATAATGCAGTCCATTGTTGTCGTCGGCGATGGGATCAGTTCGCTGAAGACATGCCAAACATTGTCGTTGTCTTCATATGAATTTCATTGTGTTTTGCTTTCAATATGAAAGTCAATGGGATTTCTGTTTAACACTTCACGAGTGAACACATGGTTTATATGCCTAACGCTGATTTGGTACGTTTTATTACTATAAACTCCATTGATTATAGTACAAATATTACATAAATAATAGTACTGAATCTCGTTATAAACTTATTTACATTATGCTAATTTATTTAACGTTATTTCTTAGGTAAATAACGTAAAATTAATTTAATCGAGAATTTGTAACTTTTCATGATAACTAAAACACATTAAATACATGAGGATATATAACCACTAAAAGGTCTAAAACCTTTAGTCTATAAATGACAAGTGAATACAATAGCCATCAATGAAATACGAAAATACATGCCCTTTGAAGTCAACATAATAATATTATATGACTCATTGAATGCTTACGTAAAAAAGTCGAATCAATTCCTAATCACTTGAACCCTTTTACGAGTACATCAGCCAATCATATGTCAAAAACGTAATATTCACTCAAAAACATAAACAATAAAAAAACTAACTTTTCATTTGAGTTGACAATAAAACTCGCAATTAATTGCCAATTAAATCATTACTATCGCCGCAAACCACGTGACTCTCACGTGTGGGACACACGCGACCAGTATTTGGGCGGCAACCGCAACAACCGTAGATATCTCAAGACATAGCGACTGAGCGGTGACCTCGTGACCACCGATGGACTGCTTGGTGGTGGACCGGCTGAGTTACGAGCGGATGAAGCTCGAGACGGAACAGTTCAGGGCTCGTGTCCAGGAACTGGAGCGCGAGAA